GTATATATATATATGTGTTTATTTTTTTTTTTAGTTGTTTGGCTAATTTCTTTTTATTGTTAGTAGAGGTGGTGTCTCACTCAGGCTGGTTTCGAACTCCTGACCTCAAACGATCCTCCCACCTCGGCCTCCCTGAGTGCTGAGATTACAGGCGGGAGCCACGGCGCTCTGCCCAAGCCCCAACTCTGGCAGTACCCGCTGTGAGACCTGTGTGTGCACGAGATGGTGGGAGGATTGTGATGGCCTTTCTTCTAGCTGGTGCCTGTGCTGGGTGGAATAGCGTCCCTCCCAAATTCATGTCCACCCACAGTCTCAGAATGTGACCTTATTTGAAGAAAGAGTCTTTGTAGATGTCACTCATTAAGATGAGGTCACACGGGTTTAGGTTGGGCCCTAAGACTAGATCCTTATAAGGAGGCCACGTGTTGACGGAGGCAGAGGTTGGGGTGATGTGGCCACAAACCAAAGAATGCCTGGAGCCAGCAGGAGCTGGGAAGAGGCCTGGGAGGCTTGCTTAGTGCCTTCAAAGGGAGTGTGGCCCTGCCAGCACCTCCATCTCAGGTGCTCTGGCCTCCAGAACAGTGACAGAATCAATTTCTGTTGTTTTAGGCACCCCCAGTCTGTGGCCATTTGTCCCTGCAGCTGCAGGAGAGGAATACAGTACCTTTTCAACGGGGGCCTTGGCGGAGGGAGCGGCGACTAAACAGGGTCCAGCTTTGTCTGCTGCAAGCCCACAATGTCCGAATCCCGGGGACCTGGGTAGGGCTACTCTTGCCACTGAATGGGGCTCATTGTTAAGCCTCTGTTTGATACAGTACAAAGCAGGAAGTAGCTGATGGCTATCTAGGGGGTGCAAGCCTGTGCTGTTGTGTATTCCTACCTGGCTCTGCTCAGCTGGGTGTGGTGTTCTGTGTTTACCTAGTGTTGTCGCTCACAAAATTGCTCATAAGCAACCGTGAAATCTGTGTGATGCTCGAATTGTTTCCTAAGATATCAATCTGGTTGGAACAAATTAACAATTTCATAGCAAGCATTATAGCAGAACTGACTATAATGATTTCACTATTCAATTTATCACATGGGGTGATAAATTGGGGGCCTCTTTATAAGATTCCAGGTGAAAAACCTTCAGGTCTGTGCTTCACCTGGGTAGCCGGCTGGCCTTTATCTCGTGGATATGGTGGCATAGTTTCCCTTTTAGCTCTGACCACCAGGAAGCTCCACCTTGTGGCACAGTTTTCTTGCACTTATCTCCCATTGTCTTTTTTTTCTTACTTACCTTTACTTTCCTCCACTATTTCCTTATCCTATCCTACTTTATGTTTTTGCTTTGTTTTTTTTTGTTGTTGTTGTTTTGTTTTGAGACAGAGTCTCACTCTGTTGCCCAGGCTAGAGTGAGTGCCATGGCGTCAGCCTGGCTCACAGCAACCTCAATCTCCTGGGCTCAGCGATTAGGCTTGACGCCATGGGCACTCACTCTAGCCTGGCAACATAGTGAGACTCTGTTCAAAAACAACACAACAACAACAAAAAACAAAGCAAAAAATAAAGTAGGATAGGATACGAAATAGTGAGGGAAAATAAAGGTAAGTAAGAAAAAAACAATGAGATAGTGCAGAAAACTGTGCCACAAGGTGGAGCTTCCTGGTGGTCAGAGCTAAAAGGGAAACTATGCACATATCCACGAGATAAAGGCAGCCGGCTACCCAGGGTGAAGCACAGACCTGAAGGTTTTTCCTGGAATCTCATAGAGGCCCAATTTATCCACCCATTGTGATAAATTGAATAGTGAAAGCATTATAGTCAGTTCTGCTATAATGCTTGCTATGAAATTGTTAATTTGTTCCAACCAGATTGATATCTTAGGAAACAATTCGAGCATCACACAGATTTCACGGTTGCTTATGACATTTTGTGAGCGACAGACTAGGTAAACACAGAACACCACACCCACCCTGACGAGGCCAGGTAGGATACACAACAGCACAGGCTTGCACCCTAGATAGCCATCAGCTACTTCGCTGCTTTGTCTGTATCACAGAGGCTTAAATGAGCCCCATTCAGTGGCAGAGTAGCCCTACCCAGGGTCCCCGGGATTCGGACATTTTGTGGCTTGCGAGCAGACAAAGCTGGCCCTGTTTAGTCGCGCTCCCTCCGCCAGGCCCGTTGAAAGGTACCTGTATTCTCTCCTGCGCTGCAGGGACAAATGGCCACAGATGGGGGTGCCTAAACAACAGAAATTGATTCTGACACTGTTCTGGACGCCAGAGCACCTGAGATGGAGGTGCTGGCAGGCCACACTCCCTTTGAAGCGACTAAGCAAGCTCTCCCAGGCCTCTCCAGATCCTGCTGGCTCCAGGCATTCTTTGGTTTGTGGCCACATCACCCAACTCTGCCTCCGTCAACACGTGGCCTCCTTATAAGGATCAGTCTTAGGCCCAACCTAAACGTGTGACTCCTCTTAATGAGTGACATCTACAAAGACCTTTCTTCAAATAATCACATTCTGAGACTGTGGTGGACATGAATGGGAGGGACGCTATTCCACCCAGCAAGGCACCAGCTAGAGAAAGGCCATCGCAATCCTCCACCATTCGTGCACACACAGGTCTCACAGCGGGTACTGCCAGAGCTGGGGCTTGGCTGAGCGCCGTGGCTCCCGCCTGTATCTCAGCACTCAGGGAGCGAGGTGGGAGGATCGTTTGAGGTCAGGAGTTCGAACAGCCTGAGTGAGACCCACCTCTACCAACATAACAAAGAATTAGCCAAACAACTAAAAAAAAATAAACACATATATATATATATATATATACAATACATATAGTATTATAGATAGGTAGTATTTATGTAAAATTAAAGCGCCGAATGGTGGTGCTGCTGTAGTCCTAGATACACGGGAGGCTGAGCAGTAG